TTTCCTCAGCTTCAGCTTGAACTTGCATATGAGTAATTGTGAGATTATATCAAAGATATTATCCATGAAGAGAACAACGTTCAAGAACGAAAGTTCAAGAGAAAAAAGGGCAAGAAGAAAAGACTAAACCGGATGTCAGAAGAGACTGAAAATTGCACAAGAGCATCAAGAATCCAAAACAAAGGGAAGAGGTGGCAGGGTAAAAGAGATGAACAGAAGATTTCAAAGGACAGCTCAGGAGGACAAAGTAAAGTATTATAATGGAATGTGCAATTTTGGAATCAAACTAATTATTTTGTCCTTTGACTTTGTTCATTTGTGTTAATGTATGTTGGCAGTTAGATTCAGAGTATGCACTTTGGCCGAAATACCACATAAGTGCTCTTTTGTGTCCTCTTGTAGCACATTAGGGACACAGGTGTTGATTTGCACCCTAGCTGGCGATGTTAATGCTTCCACTTGGCTGTGATGCTATCTGCCAAGTTTCTTCTCTTTAAAGTTACTTTTCTATTAATAACGAATGAGGATCTTGTGAGCAGTACTCTGAGAATAGCTTGTTTGTCACTAAGCATTCTCTCCCTGGTTTTAGAACTCAGATCAATGTGGAAGCTCTTGCAACCTACCCCATCCCTACCTCTCTTAAAGCATCTTTTACCTTATTTCAGGTGTAACCTGGAGAACCTTATTGATGCCATATTGCTTAGTGGATAACTTCAGTTTTGGGGGGGGAATATTGTGGACCCTTTATTCACTAGAATTTCAATTGACTGAAAAACAAATGAAATAATTAAGTGAAAGAGCAGAGATGCAGGAGAAAACTGCCCAAAATGCTAATGATAATAATGATTAGCTGGTGAATTTGTGACTTCATCATTCTAGTTATAACAATGTTATATTCATCTTTAAAATTCTGACAACTGGTTCGACATATTTTTTGTTAGTGGTTTAGTTTTTTAACTTCCATACCAAAAGCATATTCTTTCTGCCTCTTGAAGCATATAGACTAAAATTGTCCTGGTGCCCTAACATGGTCTTTGGGCCCATTTTGTGCCACTTCTACGATCACTTGATGGATTCTCACATGAAAATGCACTGATATAAATATCTTAATAATGAGACATTGTTTGAAATCTCTCATTGGTTCTATGTCCGTAGATTTAGATAACGAAGATTCAAAAGCACCTGTAGAAAAAAAGAAGTCTCTCTGCACAGATGGTTCTTCAAAAGGTAGAAAGAATAAAACAACTGGGAGCACGACTCCAAGTAAGTACTGTAGACAAGCCACCCTAACACGGTGAGTGACTCACTGGATTCAGGTGGGAGAGGCAGTGAGCATTTGGGCTTGCATCCGGACTTGCTTATTCTCTGGCTTTGAGACCCTGCAGTCCTCTGTAAACCCATTTCCTCACCATAAAGTGAAAGTGATAGACTACCTATTTCATCATGTAGATAGATAGATATGGACAAACTGAGAATATTAAATTGAGCATAGCAGCTCAGACATAGTAGGTATTTAATACATACCTTTAAAGTAAAATGCCCAAATTTAGCCATGTAGCTCTTCCCCATCTTCAATCAGCAGCATGTTGCTTGACACACAGAATACTAATTGAATCCTGTGTATCTCAGAATAATGCTGACAATATATTAGAAACTCAGTAAATGTTTACATACTGATTTAGTATATCACAGCAGGGTGAATGAACTGAGACCCACTTTGGCTTGTTTCATATAGCCTTGGGTTTTTTTCCAGTCTGTGTTTTATTGATGAAATATGTTTTTCTATCTCACCTCACAAAATCTCACCCAGGCCCTCCTGTTCTTTCCCCTCATTCCGATAGCCAGGGCTGCACAAGTGCTCCAGGATTCCCTGCCCAGTGGTCATTATGGAGTGTGTCCATTGGGTAGCTATGTGAAAACCACTCAAGGCTTTTGTGGGGAAAAAAATGGAAGAAGTCAATCCAGGCCCTAGTGGGACTTATTTGAGAGTTATGGCCACTTGCTATAGGCCAGCTCAATTTCTTCATCTGGATACACGGAGGCAAATTCTTCCCAAGCATGTGCATTTTGAAAGTACTGATGAACTCCCTTAAACTGTACTGGGATGGAGAATCCCCTGTACTTCTTAGATACAGTCTGAACGATGTGAGGTTTTGGCAACAGGATGAGCTCACTGACATTCAGAAATTTCCTCTGAGAGATACTTTCATCGTCAGCATTGGCCTCATTCACTTCTTCTGGGAGGGGGGACACCAAGTAATAGTCCAAAACCTTTAAAGCTTTTAGGAGGCCCTTCTCTAGATTATCACTGAGTGCTGGGTTTGAATTCTTGACGTACGCAGAAAGTCTGCCAAATACATCCAGATCAGCTGTGTTGGATTCAGGGTTTAGAGCTACTAGCTTTCAGTACACAGGACGGAATACAGCTTCTAGGAATTCTTCGATCTTGGTGTGCATGTGTACTTTGGTGCCGTACAGCAGGAATGGGAGCTGCCCTCCTTGGCACAGCTTCTTCAGTGTCCTTTCACCTTTTGGTATCAACAGTGGTTACGTTGAAGGTGACTCCTTTGAGCCACAGCACCATGAACAGTGTCTGGGACAAAGGACAGTTCCCTTGTGGCTCCACCACGGTCAGCTTTTGTGGACAATTCAGCTTGTGGTTGTTCTTTAGCCATACTTGAAACCGGGACTTTCGGCCCTGTTTTTTTTCCTCCTTTTTTCTAAATGGTATAATTTCTTTATTTTTATTTTTTGTGATTATAAGTTTATGGAACAAGTTGTTTTACCATTCAATTCATAGATAATTTGTTTTATGGCATTTACTACAATCCCCACCATGTAATAGTTCTCTTCCCACCTTCCATTTATCCTGGGTTAGTGGTGTCTTGTTAATTGCATATGGTTGATTTTATAAACCTTACAAGCTTAAGAGAAAATTTTTCATTTGTAAAGAGTGGTGGAAAAAAGAATATGACACAGAGACTAGACATGGTTTTAAGGCCTGAAATATTTACTGTCTTGTTCTTTACAGAAGAGTTTGCCAATCTCTGGCATAAATCTTTCTAAACATTTAAAAAAACAAAAACAAACCAACAGATTTATAACAAAGTAGCAGACAAGTTGGTTTTGAGAGTGAGAATGAATCTCCCTTTCCATTTGCAAAGAAATGAATTTTGGAGAGACTAAGGATGTTTGACCTATAATATGAATATGTTTTGCCTTAGAGATTCTAAAAACTAAGTGTTTTTAAATTTAACCTTTAGCAAAGATTAGAAATTATAAATGTCTGGAATATAGAAAAGAAAATAAGTCCTAGCAGAAAACTGTAAAGGTGAATACAGACATATCTCAGGGATATTGCTTCCAGACCATCAATATAAAGTTAATACAGCAATAAGTAAAACAACATGAATCTTTGGGTTTCCCAGTACATATCAAAGTCATGCTTATGTTATATGGTAGTTTATTAAATGTGTAATAGCCTTATGAGTAAGTTTGTAATGTCAGAATTACTAAAATGTGAAACAAAGATATAAAGTGAGCATATGCTGCTGGAAAAAATAATGCCAATAGACTTCTCGATGTAGGCTTCAATTTGTGGAAAATGAAATATCTGGGAACCTCAATTTCATGAAGTATGTGTGTAATAGATTTCTGGCTTATTATAAATTTTCCTGTTTTGGGGTAATACTCTAGATTTTAAGAAGCTTCATGCAGCTCACTTTAAGGAAATGGAGTCTATTGACCAATATGTTGAAAGAAAAAGGAAACATTTTGAAGAGCACAGAAATTCACTTAATGAATTGAAGGTATGTTGACATATTATGTTCTTTTCTGAATTAGTTCTTCTCTTAATAACATGAACTCACGGCTAATCTTTTGAGTTGCTGTTGTTAATTTGATCTCATATGGCTAAGTCTTTAAAACAGTGTAGCTGGCAAAGAGTACTAAATGTTCCATGAACTGCCAAAAGAACAACAAATAAATCTTGGAGGAAGTGCCACTAGGGGCATAAAGTTCTCCTTAGGGGCAAAAAGTTATAGTTTTTTAAAAAATATCACATATTTTAGGCATGTTGTCAGGAGAATCCATTCTTTGGATAAAGACATCATCCAGGGGAAGTTACAGGGGGTGAGTGAAACAGGAGACCCTCAACAAGACGGACTGACACAATAACCACGCCAGTGGACAAGTTACATTTCCACTTTGCAACAGATCTTAGACTAATGAGAATCAAACACTTAATTACCCTTTGACAGTCAGTTGACACGCACTCACTGAACTGTATTGACAGTAAATACAAAAAGGTAAATGGAACCTCCTTTTACAGCAACTTCAGAGGAAACATTTGCTTTCTCCCCTCTTTCTCTGCCACTGTTCTTTTAACAATTTAAAAATATTTAGAGATCAGTGCTGCAATCCCAAAGGCACATGGTTTGAATCCAGTAGTTGCTCTTTGGGTGATGGATAGGAAATCTTCTGTAATTTACTGCCTCTGAAAACCTACTGAAAAGTTAGCTATGAATCTACTCCAGCTTAATGGCACACATCAACAACAACACATGGAAAAGAGAAGAATATTTTCACCAAGTTTTTGTGTGTGATACTACAAACAAGGAGATCTTGTGGAGAAGTCCTCAGTGGGTTGCGATGCTAAAATTGTCTGTGTTTTGAGTGGTCAAAAATACTCAAAGGAAGATAGATGAGCAGTCATCTCCTCTGAAGTCTTATAGAATTAGAAAGCTAAAGGAGGGTCACAATGCTGGTCAGAGAATGAGTGAGACTGAGAAGAGAAGAAACAAATTCACCAAGATTTTTTGGGTGTGACACTATAAAATATCTTACTAAAAATTAAGTTTTAAATTTTTCAATACCATGTAGATTATCTAGAAATCATTCCTTTTTCTTTTTTAAATTTTTTTACTATTTGCCTGTGTGTGTACCATCAAATCAGATCTGACTGGTACAGGAGGAAATTGTCCCTCCTTCCCTGGCAGAGCATCTGGTGGATTCAAACCATGCGCCTCTGGGATTGCAGTGCAGCTTCTTGCCACTAGGCCACCAGAGCTCCCCGTAGAAATCATTGGTAATACAGTTTAAAGCACCATGGAACTATGCGTTTTTATAAAAAATGGTGCCTGGGGAAAAAAAAGAAAAAAAAGCACCATGGAGGGGAAAAAATATTTAGAGATAAGAGGTAGAAGTGTTTGTAGATTTCACATATTAATTATAT